GGGGGGGGGGTGAGGTGGTAATTATTTGATATTTATTATTGATTATTATGCTATATCATATTCATTGTTTATAAACTTCAATGTCAAATTATTATAGGGAGCCAATAAAATACGTTGTTGTAAACCCTAAATCCCCGGCCCCCAGGCGATAAAGTTAACCAGTCACGTTTTCTATTTCAAAGAGTCATTAATTATTAATTAAGGATAAATTGAGAATATATATTTTCTTATGAGCTTAATAATGTTCCTCTTTTTAAGAGTCTGTTTGCAGTTTGTGTGGTGTGTGAAGGTTTTTAAATACTAAACTAAATAGGTCAAAACGACTTGTCTGATCGAGACGAGTTTATTAGAAGTGGATGAAAAACACAGGAAGTCATGATAACGATCTATGATAAAAGATATGCCAACATTAATATTTAATGTATTAAAACTCAACTAGTGAAATTATAAAATCTACAAATGGAAAGAGGGGGCAATGTTTTCTTCCACACTGAAGTACATGATTGTCTCAAGTTTTTTAGAAGAAAAACGGTAATTACATAATTATCCCTGCATGTGTTATTAATTGACAACTAATTGGTACGACGATCATAATGAATTACGCATGCGCAATGGGTTAAGTAGGAAAACAAACAAGTTGGTTAAGTCTGACAAGACCTACTACCTAAGTGTCTACAACCATATGAATCGTACGGGCGATAAAATCTCTTAGATTAAAGCTGGTCCCTGGAACTTTTGGAAGTTTCTATCAGAATATATAATCAATAGAAAAACAAATTGATAATAACACTCATGAGTGTCAGTCGAACATACTGATAATGATGTGAGCCGGTCAATCTATAGAAGCTTTATGTGGAAATAAAATGAAAAAAGGAAGAGTGACTATGAAAAACTAAACTGAGAAAGTGAGTTGMTATGAGCAAGTTTTAAACTTGATAAACAATCACTCTAAATAATTCTCAAATTCGTCGAGAAAATAAAGCGATGTCAAACAAAACTGACTTCTTGGGGCTGTATTCGATTGGTTGCCTCTGATAATGATATAACGCATGACAGAATGACAATTTYCTAAGGGTAATATTGACTCTCTTCAGTGATGAAAATTACATTAAGTGGCAATCTAGACCTAGTGGCCTCGAATTGTCATATAACCCTGGAAGCTTAACGGGAAAAAACTATATTAATTTGAATACTGTTTTGTTGGGGCAACCTTCTGCGATTTACGACTCAAAATCGTCTAATTTGTCCAATCTTATCACTGGCAATATTTGAAGGAGAAAAACAATTTAAAGATTTTCTCTTAAAAAAACTGAACAGCTGCTGTAGAAGAGCGAAAATAACTTGGACATCATCATCGTTTCTGGTGAATATGGTCGTGAAGGTGATTATTACGTTAGTCTGCACGACACTGCTGATGGTAATGGTGTTCATTAGTGGACAACCATCATGTACCCAAAAGTGCCCCAACTCGTATGGACATGTTATCAACTGTTCCCTTAACAGTCCAGATCATTCAATACGTTCACAAACGACCATCTCTCAGCTTCAGTGTTTTGATATGTGTATAAGACAACCTGGATGTGAGTTTTACAACTACGTCAAACAAGCTGGGAATGATACATGTCAGTTATTCAAAGATCTTTGGTCTTTTGATGATCAAGAGAAAATGGTTGTGCATCCTGGAGCCACCTTCACATGGATAGCAAGGGATAAATATTTACAGGTTTATTTATTCATTTATATATTATTTCTTTCTTTCTTTCTTTTTATTTACTAAAGTAACTGATAAAAGTAATGAATGTTTATAATCATGATTTTTAAAAGATTTCTGCTCTTTGCCCAATGCGCAGGCCAAAAGTCAGGGGACTTTTTTTTTACAATAATGACACTTTGAACACGAGTTTTTTWATGCTCTTATTTCCTGAACTTTCCACTGTTTTAAACCATCTAAAATGAAGCATTGGGTTCAAATACACCGAGTAATCACAATAAATCTTATTTTTTAAGTGAAAAAACTACAATATTGACGACGAGGAGATTTTTGTTTTCAGCTGTTTTTTATTGACCTGATTTTCATGGATTAATACAAAGTATTAGGATAGTAAGCCAGGACAAAAGGTAACTTGTAATTGAGCGCAATTACTCTAATCAGTCTACTAATACAGGCAAGGCTGCCGACTGCAAGKAAAGTCCTACTTACAACCAGTTATGACACTGCTTTTTTGTTGTTCTAATTTATATCCATCAACCTTTCTTTTCTAACCTAACAAAACTGTATGATTGATATCCTACTTACAACCAGCAATGTTTTTGTTATTCTAATCCAGTTATATYCAACCAGTCTCCGGCTTTCTCACCTGACAAAAATGTAGTGAGAAATTCGAATAATGCTATCAAAATTTTAGCTAATTTTCTTCTTCTAATAGAGACTGAGAAAGAAAACTCGAATAAAGCTAAACAAGACAATAATATTTGGACTAACACCTTTTACAAATTATGAACATTATACAAGAAATCTTGCTGTGAAGACAATAACTTCTGTCAAAATTTCAGTTTTCTTCTTTGCTCAAAACTTATTAGAGTAAAAAAATTGAAAAAAGAAGATACATTATTGCGATTAGGGGAAACTTTCAGCAGCGATAGTATAGGTTTAGGTTTAAACTTCTACTGACAAATTAAAGTAAGCTTAACCACGAGCCGGTGTTGAGTGCCATCTCAGAGGGGAAGTAAATTTTCCCCACGACATCTTTAGCAATATAATATCCCAAAAGGTGTTATTCGATGAAMGTTTGTTAGTGACATATTGATTAAAGTTCCATGCTGATAAGTCCAGTTTCTATGACACCWAAAACTAATATTAAGAATCTAATCATTACATTGTTAATGAGGAGGATTATGCTATTTTTGGATGAATTTAACTAATATGGAGAGTTATCTTTAGAGAATTATTTTAGTACCTTGGCCAGGTGAATATAGAATCATATTYATTTTATATACATGTGCGAGACTTCAAACCTAGAGCACTAGATGAATTTGCGCATAAATTTCGCAAGGAATTATGGGTGATTAACGTWTGTTCGCACTCTCGAACTTTGAAGAAAATAATTAAGCTTGTTCTGAAAAGTTATCTTGAACTTGACGCTTCTCGTTCAATAAAGTTTATAAGAGACACTCCCACACTCTTCCAAGAAAATCCTTAATGAGATAATTTTTTAGAGTTTTATGCTAATTTGTTATCTGTCAGAATTCTTGAATCTCATTGGTTGATCTAAGATTTCACATGATGGTCAACTCAATTAAAAATAATTAAGCTACCGTTTTTTACAAGCTCAAACCAGGATTGCTTTTATTTATTGTAGTGGTTGTCCCCAGATTGTCCAGGAGTCAAGAGCCTTGSTTCAAACGACTCGTTAATTGGTAAGCCTCAATTATAATCCCTTATTATAGTTAGGCGAAAAACTGTTTTGTGCGGGGGATGGAAAATGGTTAATAATTAATGATCATAGTTTTGAATTTCCCAAGCTGTTGTTTAAATATCAGTTTAACCAAACGAATACTGAAAATGTTGAGTAATGACGATTGAGATTCATCAGGGTGCTCAGGTTCATTGTCGTCGTTTCCTGTTTACCAGTTTCTTGTTTACTCTCTCCGGCTCTGAGTATAAGCCGTTCCGAGGTTGAGGAAAAAAYTGGGTCGAGTTAGTATTACAGTCCATTGTGGGACTATTTTAGGGGACATATTTCCAAGATGGCGTCTATTTTGTCCCCTAAATGTCCCAAAATGCACTGCACATACAAAATCGGTACAGTCCGTTTTTCTCAAATGGAATGGTTGATTGCATTTCCAGGTTCAATCAAGAAGCCTCTTGATATTGCTTTTCTGCTGGACACGTCTATTGATCCCGAAAGCAACTTTAAGCTCGAAAAAGAATTTGTTTCTAAAGTTCTACGAAGGTTCAAGCAGAGTTCCCGCTACACCAAGGCAGCCATTGTGGAGTACAGCACAAATGCTGTGGTRACGTTTTCGTTTAATAACTTTACGACGCCATCAGTTTTCGAGAATTTCCTTCAAAACATTCCTTGTAAAAAAGGAACAACAAGATACGACAGAGCTCTTTATCTTGCCGAAAGCCATCTGTTTTCAAGCCAAGGGGGTGCCCGTCCCTTTGCTCACAAAGTGGTCATTTTGATCACCAACAGCGAGATCAAGGTCAGCGAATATGATAAATATAATCTTATCGAGTTAAAAAAATCTTATGAGAAGAAGTGCATTCATTTGTTTGCTGTGGGTATTGGTCTCGGCAAAAAACCAGCATTCAATGTGGCCAAGAGACCTGGGAATGGTACTGAAGATTATTTATTAAGGKTGGATCATTTCTCTCAGCTTGAAGCACAAGCCAGTCAGTTTTCCAACAAAATTGGTGCAGGTAAGTTGATGATACTATTAAATGCACAATATATATGGAGCAAATGCACRATTACGGCACGGCAATTGAACTTTGAACTTTTCAGGGACCGCTCATTATTTATTGTCTGGGGAAATAATGTCATCTACCCAATCTGATCGGGTTTGCTGGGGTTGTTACGTGCCGTGCCCCGATATTTATGCCCCGTTTCCAACAAAACGTCTTATTTAGACGCTCCTCTTTTCCTAGTCATTGTAAAAAACCGTCTTTACTTCTTTCAGCACTCGACTGATGTTGGTCCAGTAACCTGCCATTGTCATTAAAGACCGTCTAGATCTTTTTCCTTCAGCACTTGACTGATGTTGGCACTCATATATCACTACATAGCTTCCCTATGGTAAATGGAGTCTAAAAGACACTATTCACATTCACTTGGGTACAGTTATCAATATCAATGAAWCCAGACGTTAAAGAATAATTGCTTGCTTTAGAGGTCAGACAAGTCTTCGTGCACAGGTATTGCTTGTAATAATGGTAATGTAAATGTAAACGCTTATGGAGAGTCTAGTTAACATATAGCTTTATCATGACAACATAGGGATGAATGCATTAAAACTCCAGTAAATTAGGTAGAAAAGGCAAGATCAGGAGAATTCATGAATCGGGTTTGTATATACATAATGTACTATAGTGAAATKCATTGGCTGAGGAGTGAAAACCACGTTAAATTTCACGAGAAAACCGGTATTAGTTTTCGCGTTTATTTGGTGTTTTGATTGGAAAGAATGACGAAACATTAAGATTTAAGTCAAAATTCAAAGAGGGTTCCCTTATTTTTAATGCGACTCCACCTAAAATAGACGCTTGTATACGTCATCTTTAGCCAATCAGCGCGCGCATTTAAGATGTGCTATGAGATTCTATATAATATTATCATTAGACATTTATAATTTCATAAGGGATGGTAATACTAAACAAAAATTCGTCGGTAAATGGAAAGAAATTCTTTCATTTCCTAGTTGGGTCAAAACAGATTTCGATATTTAAATTTGTCAAGTGATTTTGAATAAGAGCTKTTTAGTTCAAACTTGTTTAATTCTATTTATTATTACGTGCATGGTTTAATAAAGTATACACCAACTTTTTTAAAAAATGTTGGCATTTAAAAATACATCATCGGCCGAATGAGGCTCACTCACATTATGCATATTGCAGTTTTTCAGCTGTCGAACATTYATTCAAGTTACCGATCAACAAAGCACTTTGCCACTCTTAATGCTTTGTCTGTATGCAATCASGCTACAAATGCCGGCCTAGGATATCGACTACCCAGAATACCCCTGGATCTTAGCTTGATGATTTAACCCTTTCAACCCAAATCGGTTTTCCAATTTGCTTGGTGAATAATAATGATACATCGATAGTCATATACTAGTATGGGACTAGCTATCAAGTAAATACTGTTAGTCGATGGTTCCCACTATCCGCTACAAACRCGTGACCTTTGCGATTAACCGCCACTGCATACGGCGTATCTAGGCAACCACGATCAGAACCCAGTCTTCCAAAACTACTGACATATTGCCCGTCCAWATTGATTACTTGAATGCGATGATTCATACTGTCCGCTACGAGAATGTTTCCTTTATTATCTATAGCYAATCCCCGTGGATTCATAAACTGTCCTCTACCAATACCAGACCKACCAAATGTACTGTAAGACTTCCCGTGGCAATGAAATACTTTAATTTGGTGGCTTTCGTATTCAGAAATAACGACATCACCATATTTGGTGACTGCTATACCGCTGGGCGTWCGAAGGTAMRCGGGCCCACCTATGAATCCAATAAAATGGCCGTCAATACGAAACTTCTGAATCCGATGGTTTGTGATATCCGCAGCTAGAATGTGTCCTTCCTTGTCTACGGTTAGTGCAGATATCGATGGCCTTTCGTCCCTTTTATTATATATAGGCAGAAAATTATGCGAAAGCATTCCATCTGAGGTGAATACTTTAATTATTTGGGAGTCTGATACGATGATATTGCCCTTCCGGTTGACCGCAAGTGCTGCTGGGTAAGTATTGTTCATTGTCAKGGCTTCTCTGATTGGATAACCCGTCTCTTCGATGATGTGGACACGACARTTTCTATGGTCTGCTACGAATACCACGTCCTTACGCGTGACAGCTATACCACGTGGGCAATCGAACTGTAGAGAGTCAATCCTGTTACCATAACAACCTATGGAATATGAATTTTCCTCCAGAACATCGTCATACTTTAAAACCTAAAGAAATATAACACAACAATGAATGAGAATGAAAAATGATCCTACGAGGGCCGACCAAAGGATCATTATGTGAGGAACCTTAATGGTATAGGGGCTCTGATGAAAAGGAACCATTCCTGGAGGAKTTTTAGGGGTCTTTTTGTAGAGGGACCATAACACTATAATCCTAATTAATAGGGGCTCAGATAAAAGTAGCCCACTCTTTGACAAATGGTTTATTCGTTAAGGCCCATCCTATTCATAGGGGCCCTTCTGAAAGAGGACCCGATGCAAATTGTGTCCTAACAGTATAAGGTTCCTTGGTACTCATATCTACAGAATATTCAATTACCTTTTGTGGTTTCCCAATTTCTTCCAGTCTCCACACAGGAACACTGATTGGTTTATCAAATACCGGATTCTTCTCAGTTTTCTCGTATTCTTCTTGTGTTTCTTCTAGTTCTTTCTCGATGTCCCACGCATTGATCTCATTCTGTCTTATCAGCTGTCGTACTTTTCGTATATCCTCRAACGAGTCCAATATTTCCTGGTCAACCTGAACCAAATCTTTGGTTTTCTCAAGAATCTTTAAGTTTATTTGGCGCACTTTTTCTCTCTTGGAGTAAAGCTGYTTTTCTATTTCTTCGTTATTTTGTTTATATTTTTTCAACGTTTCTTCTTTGTCTTCTTTTTGCTTCATCAAAGACTCGAGTGACTTTTTTGATTTGTCGTTGGAATGTTTGTCGAAGACGCTCACACGTTTCTCACGACTCCCTCTTTTGATATTCAACCTAAAAGTATCAACCGACGAAACAAAAAACAACAACATAAGTTTCACCTATTAAGCATTTTACTAGAAATACCTTCAATTTTAATTTTTCTGAAAAAATTTATTGATGCCCTAAAATGATATGTTGTACCTCGAGTTCTTGAGAGCCTCTTGTAAGTTTTTCAGTTCAGCTTCCTGTAGTTTGATCACCTCGCTGCTCTCYACGTCTCGTTCCTCCAACATATCCCTCTCCATAGTTTCTGTTCGTAACTGCTCTGATAACATGTCCACGTCTTCGTACTGTGAGATGCATACTTCTTTATGACTATTGAGCAAATCCTCCTTGTTTTCCAGTGTGTCTCTCAGATCATCTCCTGTTGTCTTGTAGTTTTGTATCTCTGCTGCTTGTCTTTCCATGATRACACGAAGACCGCTTAGTCTTCTCTGTGCACGTAACCGCTCTACACCACAAAAAAAACACACACGGCATTAACATGGAAATACTTTAGGAAAAGAGCAATAGCAATAGGATGCAGCAAGACCTGTACTGAAAGTACTATGAAATTATGCCGGAACCTCACGCTYAAGTACGCTATCATAATTTAGCTTTTTGAAAAAGAGGTCTGTTGTACGACAGGGATGAAAGGAATGCTATTTTTCCATATGAAGAACTGCGTGACAGGATTCTTTTTGACGGAAGAGTGAGATAGATTTCAAAAAYCTTTATTCCAGACAGGCCAACTAAGTGAAACAACAAAGAAAAAAAAGGTGACCKCCTATTGCAGCAAGCTAACAAAATTAGGCTTCTAGTGTTTTGTATAATGAAGTGTTTGTACAATGATACATGATTATGACTTGAAYATTACCTTGTTTTACTTGTCCATCTAGTTCAACTGAAGACTTTTTGAATTCATCTACAAGTTTAACCAATCCKTCCTGCTGACACCCAACAAGCAAGCTCCTTAAAAATGCTAGTTTCTTGTCCGTCACTATCCCTCGCTGCTGAAGCACCTCAGTAACATCATAACCAACTCGAAGACTCTCCAAACATTCTTTATTCAAATGTCCTTGTAGTTGTAGTTTGATTAGCCGGACATTTTCTTTGGTTAAGTGACTAGATATTGTCCCTAGCAAAACATTGAAGGGTGTCAAAATGGAAGTCTCTTTATCTGGAACCATTGCTCTAGTACTACTGATTCCTGTCCATGGTGTGTCTGTGTGTTTTCAGTAGTTGCTATRGATGCCCAATCGTACAATAGTTTAGTCGGTAAATGACTGAGTAATCAAACGGGGTTCATTGTTTGCAGAGCAATCGATGTATATCAATAAGCACTCCTATTGTTCATCTAATCCTGAATATATCTTGGTAGACAATTAATGTGGTGTTTATGACTTAGTGTTTGACTGCAATTAATGAAGTTGTAGGTTTGTTGTTTATTGAGGTCGTGTCAATTCTTTGGCAACTCACTCGTGGGTGATTATTTGTTTGAAATTATTTGCTTGCTTGTTTTTTATTAGATTAAATTTTCCTCTTGCCCAAGGTAACCGTACTACAACTCTCTCTCTCAAAAAGAATAAAACATTTGAGTTATATTACAATACCGGGGTATTACGAGTATGGTGTATACGGCAAAATTCATACCCTAACATATCTACGGCGCTTTCAAAGTCCGTATAAGCGAGACAGGTAGCCAGTAGAGATTTTAATTCAGTTTAGGGCGTGACGTGTTTGRTTACAACTAACAGATATTGTTCGTATCAAGGGTTTGTATATATTTGTACAATTAGTAATCAAAAATGTGGTTGTCAATATTGCTCACAAACAACAAAAGTAATCRCAAACCAGGGTATAATTGACACTTTAAAGCAAATATTTATTAAGATAAACATCATTTTCACTAGACAAAAACATGCTACTATGAAAGCCTTTTTTATTGAACAACTAATTTGGAAACTTATTTGAACGATTAGAAAAAGATGTCATACGTGCTCAAAACAACACTACCATTAGCCCAGTAGGCACCAGAAATATCTCCACRAGATAAGTGCCATTAAGAACCTCGTTAATGAGATCATTAAATAGGTTTTAAACCTTGCAATTTCTGTCTGAGGATAAGGATGAAGATAAGAAAGAACAAAACGACTAATAGTGACGGGTTTTTGTTATRAACATGTTTTTCGTCTCTTTTTTTATCGATTTCATCTCAAAAACAACCCAAAAGCGGAACGTCATTGTCGCAAGAACACTGATAAGGCAGATTAATGCAGACCCAAAATTAGGAAATTTGGAAAAATAAAATTGGGGAAAAAAACAAAACAAACAAAAGAAAAAGAAAAAGAAAAAACAAGACGAAACAATAAAAGGAAAAGAAAGAAAGAAAGAAAGAAAGAAAGAAAGAAAGAAAGAGAGAAAGAAAGAAAGGAAGAAAGAAAGAAAGAAAGAAAGAAAGGAAGAAAGAAAGAAAGAAAGTAGGTTTTGAGGCTAAATAGCGTTTTTGAAAAACAAGAAAATGTATGAAAATCAAGCTTTATAAGCATGATTTTTAGTCGACGGTCATGTTTTGAATCTTCATATAAATATACTCCTATACAGTCGGCGCCGCCCAGACACCTATTAATGCTGCTACAAGTAGATTGACATAAACATGTTCCCATAACGTGTTATTCCTCTTGATCTGATACYCAACCATTAATGGATATTAGTATTTATCGTTATTAAAATCGATTTTTATGTCTAGTTCACTGATGTAGCCTAATATTAGTATTGGCGTCTACAGGCAAATATATTTTCTTTTAGGAAAAAAATTAACTAAAGTACGAAAGAAGACGATGACGTCAAAGCCACTTTAATCAGTTGCAGAAGTGCCTACTTTATTCGAGATAAGGGTTTTTGTTTCGCATCGCGACGAAAATTGAAATGTTTCTGTACAGCGTAACTTATTTTGATAAGTTACGGTAATAATAGCTATTAATAGTTGTATTTTTTAACCTACGTTCCTTTACTTTACTKCCATTGAAATTGTATTTTGAGACTATTGGTTTTCACCTGAATTATGACTCGCTCATTTTGYCGTACTGATTGTGGCATTTATGTAGCCTGCAGTAATGAGGGGTAAGCATTTCTTTTGCTCTGACCTCATCACTATCATTTGAMTTAGTTAGCCGTGTGCGGGGTTAAACTAAACAACTTTTAAAGATGTCTAAAGTAGAAGTCTGTGAACGAAGTATAAGTCTTTGGCTAACACTTTCAACACCAACACAAGCATCAGCTATATAACTAATAGTAAATAAATAAATAAATAAATATTTAACATTAGCTACATACACAGACTCATTTGTGTAATACTCTTTTAAACAMTGAGCAATTCATTTGTTCTTGCATAGATATCTGTAAGAGCAAAGCTGCAACGAGTCTGCGGGCGAATGTTGATTATGAGGCATGCATTGTCGCAGGTAGTCACATGACCCAAACATTTTAAGTATAATTGTATTGTATAAAAGGTAAGATTATGTAATGGCTTTGCAGGTCCACCAGTGCCCAGCMATAGTGAGCTATGCTCAAAATATGTTATCCTTGTTCAATAAAGAAATATAGCTTACATTRTGATTTTATCTCTTAATTATTCGCAGAATTGAAATATATATTTTTTACGTCCATGCATTTGTTGGATGCCTGCTTGCAATAACGGACAGTCGTCGGTTTGTATCAGTTTTATCAGTTTTATTAGAAGTCCTACTCGTACCCTCTTCTTGTTGTGTAGTATTCGCTTCATCATCAATATTATTAGATGTCAAATATGTTTCTGAATGTGGATCAATGTCTGAGTCAAAAGGTGTCCAGGGTATCAGCTCTAACGACTCAACACTCCTCAGAAAAGCTTTAACTGCGTCTCTTTCTTTCAAAATCTCTTTTTCACGTAGATACCTATAAACATCCATATCTACAGCATAAGTCCTTCCTCTTTGTCTAGTAGGAGTTCGTCCATWTTCCCCAGTCTTCTTAATAGTTTCTAACGGATTAAATTCTGGTACTTTATAAAATGATGTTTTAGTAGCTGGTGCACTACGCGCTCGGTTGATTCGCTGAGTTACACTATTCAACTGCCTTTCCCAGAGTCGGTTTCTTTTTTCCAGTGCTGTCATTGGTCTTGGCATGACATCTTTCTCAGGTCCAACCTTGGTATCAACCTTGACTTGCTTATTTGTATCATCAGCGTCAATATTTTGGGTTTTCTTCGYCGGTTCACAAGATTTCGATCTTCGTTTATTAAACCTTGGAACGGCTGGTTTAGGAAAAGCATTAAGGCATCGAATGTTCCTCATGTGTTGATAAAGATCTGGTTGATATTGAAGCGCCTTTTCAGTCTTCTCTCTCTTCTGATCCAGATCAGCAATGGCCTTTTCATGATTTTTTGCAATCAGGACACTTTTTGAAAGTTTATTGTGAAAGCGATTTACAGCCAGTCTTTGATCAATAGATATTCTACTAACGCGTTGCCTCTCTTGTCTATTTAGACACTCAAGTTCCTTTCTAAACTGAACCTCCTCTTTCCAATTAGCTGAGTGAACTTTCTGGGACTTCTCTGAACTTCCAACTTTGGATTTCTGTCGGTCAATATAGCTTGAAAACATCTCAGGCTATTTCCATATATGTTTGATCTTTTTTCAAGTCTTCGTGACAACGACTTTGTTTGTSTCGTTGTCTAAGGTAAACCTTGCTAGAATTATTCAGCGAGTGGYTTATGGCTACCTAACAAAGAAAGTAATTCGGTCTGATTAACATCACTTGCTTTCCATAATCCATTTGTCAGGACATCCATTGTAATGGTCTATCCAAATGGAACCATCTCTTTTACCCTTGAGTTTTTCTATAACCTACAATTCAGCACTCTATTAGAATCCATTATAAGTATTAACGCATTGAAAAGATCCGACTTTAATTCCTGTATCTTCCTGAAGGACTCTTTATAGTCTTTAGTATCATCCACAAGAGTCACTGTCGCTACCATCATGGCTTAAACATCGCTGACAGAGTCAAAGATCACAGCGTTTTTAGCCTAAATAAAAGCCCGTTGCTAGGAACTAAACAGCCTTAGACGTACAAATAGCTAAAACAAATGGAATAATGCTAAYGAGTCTGTTTACTTTTGAGCTTTCCTTTGTTCACGTTCGCAAGGCACTTAATTAGACAATATTTTTCCAAAGTTTACGAAACCGAACTATATTTTTAGTCGTACCCTTAATTAAAGAATTTCTGCTCTGATCGATCAAGGGAGAAAGTTCAACAAACAMTGTGTAGAGGTACTCTATGAGACTATGATAATAAGTTCAGGATGAAGGCCCATGGAGAGACTTGTCCAATACATACAGATGAAAGGTCACCGTGCAATGATCATCAAGTAAATATTTCACTCTATTGAAAAACCATGTGTGACATCTTCGCAAGCACAGACTGGAATCTCATTTTGCATAGCGAGATTTGTATGTATTAAAAATTRCGACAAAAATTGGTCCTGAAGGGAACGTTTTGTTTGAACCACCCGCGAGATGTTCGGAGATAAGTCGGGAAGTATTCRGAGTCATTCGTGTTGGCTTGTTCATTGGCTTGCAATCATTCCTAATAGTCAATTCAAGTGGCTATTTTGGTAGATGTCTGTAGCAATTATTCCTTATGAGGAATTCAAAATGGCTACCAGCATGTCATCCAACATGGCCGCTATTCTGTTTTCATTTCTTCAAGTGGAATTGACTGCAAGSCTCATATCTGAAGTTTTAATTTAAAAAAAGACTACAATTAGACCAATACTGCATGAGTTAGCAAGATAAGTGGGCACTCAAGAAAAGAAGGCTTGCTTTAGATATAGTACTACTAGTATACCTCAAGATAAGTGCGTAAGCCTAAGATATTGGGCTTCACTGACATATGACATATTAATGAAAATGAGTTTCATAATACTGGCTGGTTGTAATAGAACTGGTTATGGATGTTGAGTAGGGATCAAGGGCGGATCCAGTCAAAATTTTAGGGGGGGGGGACTAATTGAGTTTAGGGGGGGTGGGGCTAATTGAGTTTCTTCCATCAACACAACGAAAAACAATAAAAAAACGTCTAATTCTTCAGTTTTGTTTTTTTTTTTCTGCTGAAGGGGGGCTTCAGCCCCCCTTTGTCCCGCCCCCTGGATCCGCCCTTGGGGATGTCAAACGAGATATTTTACACGTCAATGAACACCATATATCTTTGCTTCTATTTTTCTTTTGATGGATAAAATTGATGAATTCTTCGAATTGATTCAATCTTGTAATTGTACAATATTGCATTTGTTTCRCAATTGTGTTTGTTCTTCACTTGATCCGCAAGATTACGTCGAGTAACAGAAGGAATAATTGTTGAATTTCTTTGTCACGTAGTACCTAACAGCCTGATTCCTGAGACGAGGACGAGGTGGCGGCGTGGGTACCGCTTCTTTTCCGTTTTCTAATTTTGACCAAGAAAAGAGGAGTAAAACGAGGCTAAAATTCCTTTTCTAAATATGGAGCAAGATGTGTTTGAAGTGCGAAATATTCAACAGGCTTAGGATAGAAAATTCTTTAATTATCATATGAAATTCTGCTTARAAATTACGCAACGCACAACACAAAAAAACCACGCTCATGTCATCGTTTTGGTGCATATTCCATATTTGGAAGTGCATTTCTGACGTCATAACGTATGATTGACAGCTGCCGGTCCTTGATGTCGAATATTTTTAATAATCATTTGGTTCAAGTTCTTGTTATTTACACTAGTTGGACAGCAATGTCAGAATTTATTCTGCATGGGATTAAACCTGTATAGAATCACTAGTTATTACTTCCATTTATATTCATGAATCGCGACTCGTTCTGTTTATGTATCGGTCAGGAAAATGATATGTATCTGATGAAAAGTGTGGCGAGAAAATGAAAAAAACGAAAACGAAAATTGATTAATCTTCTCTTCAATACCACGAAAATGAAATTACTAATTAGCAGAAAGTTTACTTTGTACGTTTTGTAGCCTAAGAAGATATATTTACATTGAGTCTAAACATTTCAGGTGTATTTCTTGGTACAATGACTGTCTTGTMTTTAGTTTCTATTTTGAAAAAAGAAATGTGGTGAAAACTATGACCAAGAAGGAGTGTTACATCTTTTCTTAGCGTTAACAAGACATGTTTACGCATTGGGGAAAAGTAATAAAAACATTTACGTCACACTTGCTTGGATTATTTAATAAACAAAAGTGTRAGTCTCCTACTGGTTTGTTAGCGTTTCCTGTTTCAATATTTACCATTGAATAATGCCACACGTTTTGTGCAATTTACCGTCTCTTATCGTCTCTAATTTACTTAGCGATTCGTACTTCTGAGGCGACAATGGTTCGTTTCTTAAACCTTTCCATTTAGAGATATTTCTGCTGAAAGGTGTTAATACTGATCTTAGCTTGACTCAGAAATATGCTTCTTAGTTGAACGAACGAACGAAGACCCACGGGCGAAGAGTGTCAACGACGCCGCAATTATCTCGCAGCCTCAGTGGYTCAGTACATCTCTTTTTAAAAGAACTTCGAATGCATGAAACTGCAATAGTTAGAGGAAATCGTGAATATTAAGAAACCAATTTTACTGACGCCAAGATTCCTCTCACCAACCGCTTCGAGATACAAACACTACATATAATAACGAAAATTAATAACGCCACTCTTGTCTCGATTCTTCTTGGATGAATCTAATAAACTTTGTTTTGTTGCTTCCTRCATGGTGAGACAATTATTGACCACAATATAGAAATAGAATGATAGGAAGGTAAGTGTTTTTCCCAGTGACCGCAGCTGTGAGACGTTTGGCCAAGGATAGCGGAGCGTCAGTGACGTTATTGTGCATCATGTTCATTAGTGAACCGTGATGTCTCATATTAAACGAACATGGAACTCAAATTTTCGAGTGCTTGGAAAACAATATAATCAATGGAAAATATCAAAAAGGACCTTTTTGGYTGTTATGAAGAGAAGTATGAATGAAAAACAAATGAAAAATATCTTGTCTGGAAAATTTGAAGATTTAATTTTGTRAAAGTGCATTAATTTTACGCGAGGAAAATCTTTGCACCTGTTATCGATGTTCACGAAGATTGAACGAGTACAAGTCGACCAAAATATCACATCRATGGCAAGTGAACTGCGACAGACACCAACACAACAAACAATGACTCTTGGAAGGTCTTCAAAAGAGATCTTTTTGCCAGCATTGCCTAAAATTGGCTCCCAAAATGATTGTGTTATACGAGACAATTATCAAGGCAGCTTATCGCCAAGTCAAGATGGAGTAAGCTTCATGGAAGCAGATTTAGCTTCTTCGTTCAGTGGTAAAAGGGTTCGTTTTTCTCAACCGTTGGAGTTTTGGAAGGAGTTCGATAGAGACTCGGGACAGCTATTAGATGAAAATGGAAACTTAGAAGAACCTGCGGAGAAAACATATGAAAACACAGAGGAAAAAGAAAGAAAAACCTACGAGGAAAAGGTTGGCAAAAAATTGAACGAACGTCGAGGAAAACGACGTGGAAAAGCCAAAGTTGCTCGAACAATAACSGAGGCTGTTGAAAGCCTGAAACTCGAAGATGAAAAGACAAGTGTTCGTAAGTTTATTGCTCATTATAAAAAAAGTACTGCTCGCGATTTCCGTTTACAAAACAAACCAACACAAAGAGGGATTGTTTGTGCGAAATATAGCGAGGAAGAAAATCCACCAACCAATGGTGTTATCAAGGAATCACAACGGCATGATAAAATTGCTAATACTCCTTGCAAGATATGCAGATTCTGTAGGAAAAAAYTACCTTTGGATAGTAAAACAAACAGAAACTCAGAATGCTGCACTAAAGCTTTGAGTCTTAAGCCGCAGAAACTACGAGCATCAAGCCTTCCTAGTCTTGATGTTGATGGTAGGAAGCTGTTTGAAGAGAGGTTAATACCTGATGATTATGACGATAAATGTACGTTAAAAAATCATGTTACATATTGTTGCCATGGAGCGGATTTTAGGGGTGGTACGTCATTGACTTATTTGGCACCGACTCCACTTATTGTGCAACTCTTTGAGTAATACTCTCAACATCAACCTCTCCTAGAAGTTTCCCCCCTTGGGATAGAAACCTTATACTAGTATTACACTCCTCTTATTGTGCAACTCTTTGAGTAATACTCTCATCATCAACATTTCCTAGAAGTTCCCCCCCTTGGGATAGAAACCTTATACTAGTATTATACTATAACTTTTTCTGAGGTGCATTGTGGTCCAGCTTGGGTAAGAACATATTTTGTGCATCATGCTTTAGTGGTGTGGTTTAGGTACCCAAGCTAGACTAGAATGTTTAACGAACACAGAAAAAGTTTATGATGGATCATGATATCCATTATGACACACCAAAGACAAASCATGAGTACAAAGTCTCTCTCCTTCGCTCCAGTTCTCATTGGTAGGTTTGTCTATGACGTCACGCTTCCTGGGCACTGGAGTGGCAGGAGCATATTGATTATCAGAGTCATTAATAATATAGGCTTGATTAAATTTCCGGCTTTTGGAATAGTTAAAAGTATATATTGAAATGAAATGGATTGCACCGTAGGGCAGGTACACGGTTTTAAGCAATAGGCTAGTTTTAACAATTTTGATAATATAGGTATAAATGGGCGCCTTTGATTATAAAGCATAATTTGAATACTTAATAAAATGTCCCATGATCTAGGAACGCGGCCTCTTCTCGTGTCATAGTCCAATCTATTAAAACGATAATATCATTGGGTGCCCRACTAGTTACTACCTTTGCATCAACTGTTCTATATAAAGACAYTGGTTATTACCATGGTAATCAAACCTCTTGGTTGTATCAAACATTCTGGAACATCCAACCATTTTCCATCACATATTATTTACCCAATCAATTCCAAAGAAAGGAAAAGTCTTCTGCTCGGGACAATAACGTAGGAATCTTGGGTGGAGAGTACTATTGAAGATATGTGGCTTTTAAGTTTAAGCATTCTGATTGGATTACTAATCTTTCCCTGATTGGCTTAGATGCTCCAATCGCTTACAACACTGAATTGTTTGGCGAAATCGACAAAGTCATTGAGTAAATAATGATGAGATCATCATTGAATACTTCATTTTCCACCACTCTCTCGTTTCACTCCTCCCAAGAACCGTAATTAAAATAGTTTTCAATTCTAGTCAGAAACTAGTACTAGGATTAAAGGGGGTATTTTGAGCAAAATGTGGAGCTTTATAAGACAATTGTTGTTCCACTAATTTCTGACAATTAATGCAAATTGTCAAGATTTCTTTTCTTTATTCTTTTTAATAGTTTACGAATAAGAATACAATTGCTAATCTACCTTAGAATARAGCATCATTCATCATCAACCATTGTTTGCGGACGCTTTTATTGTCCTCTTGACCTCTTTTTTAACGATTGTTATCCAACCAATGACACGCCAGCCTGGTCCATAACCCCATCATGGCCATATTACACAGACAGAGAGCCCTTAGGAAAGCCATGTCGGGTTTACTGACTTACTGTCAGCTTAGAAAAGAAGCAAGGCTAGTTTAAGAGCTCAAGATCTGCTAATAATCCCTGCTTAATGGCAAAGAGCTTCTTTTTTATTCTATGGGAGAAATAATAAGAGGACACGTATGAAGAAAACAGCACGCTCATAATGAAGGCATTGCCGAAGCGCCGAAATACARACAACACTTAGAAAGATCTTTGGAAGTTTACTCATGAATTTAAACCTRGATGGATCATCGCCATGGTTCCACGTACACTTCACTTTACCAAATCAAGGGAGTAAAAGYAGTGAGATTAAATACGACAGCCAAAGGAAAAGAATTAAGGATTTGATACAAAATAAGGATGCTTTCCTCGCACCGACCTGTCAAGGAGGGAACATAAGTCGGTCTGGAGTTAATAAGCCAGTCAAAAAATCAAAAGATGAATCCAAGAGAAAGCTAGGTAATGATTCACAAGGGAATTTTACGCTAAGAACACCAAATCAAAACAGCCTCAAGAAGTCGCCTGATACGCAAAAGAAGGGCAATTTTATTGAAACTGGGATATTTATAGATACTAAAGATTCAAACGCGACAAAGCAACAAGACAGAAAGTCAATATTCCCTCCATTAGAAGGAAGCAAAGCTGGCGTCATCACTTGTTGTCCGGGGCAACGAGATCAAATAACTGRTTCTAAAACGGACGAAGATGAAGTTAAAAACACCGATCAAAGGATTTTAATGAGTGAAACTAAAACAGAAAATAAGCTCTCTATTGCTGATTGTTATGATTTATGCAACTGGAAACCACAGAGTTCTCTGTGCAAAGAAGCACGTCCTCTCGTGAGCATTTTGAAACGAAATACGAGAGTTGAAAAACGAGCTCCAAGACCTAAGGGTCAAAGAAGTATTCAATCAGATAGCTCCGAATCCTCTGGTAACGAAATAGAAAATGAAACTACAAAGAGAAATAAAAAAGTACRTTTTGCTAAAGGAACGAAATTTTCACCCAGCACCAGAAGTAAGAAATATAGGAAAAAGAGAAATTATTTGGACAGCAAATTTGAAGACGATAAAGAACTATCAGGTAATGAAAGTAACCTCGAAGATATGATCGAGTTGAGTTTTCGAGACTTTATCCAAAGAAAAAGACTAGAAAGGTCCAAAGGAATGGCTGAAATATCTAAAGATTCGAACATGCTGTGTTTTCTGAAGGAAGAAAAAAAACTTCCAAAAGTGAATGCGACGAAACGACAGCACAAAGAGCGACTGAGTACTAAAAGAAACGGCGCGGACCAGGAAGACCGTGCATCCAAAGTAGATACATTGTTACCTACTATAGTGAACTAATTGCCGCCATTTTGGTTGAGTTTAAAAAGCGATTTGTTATGCTATATCAACCAACATGACTGCCATTTTTTTGTCCTTTCATTCTCTTGGGAATGTCTGCAAACCGTTTATACAACTAACAAAATTTTGTCATCTCTAATATATATTTATTTAATATAAATCAGTTTTGTTTGAAAGGGAAACCATTTGTACTCAGTGTCACGTGTCACATGTGTGAGGTGAAATCCCCTGATTTTAATATTAATGAAATATTTACTGGCGCTCACTGATATTTATAAGTAATAAATATTGATAGATATAGTTTTATTCTGTGTTCTGATGAAAATTCACTAAAAAAATGGATTTCAAAATACGTCGTCCATGTGTCGCTGTTCATGACTGCGCATGTCCTAATCCGCCAGGGATCTTTGCAATTTCTGGCGACATGTTTTTCATTTACTTGTAAAATTTTTGCAAAACGAAAGTATCTTTGGGTTTTACAAATTAGTATTTCTCCACGTGTATTAATAGACTAAACACGGATTGCTATAGGAGCAACACTGATGAAGAGCTACTCAGAGTCCCTCATTACTATCCACTATCCCCAAAACGTGGAAAATTTGAAGGAACTGATTGTGTCTAACACTATTATTTTCAACTCTATTGAAAATCTTTAGTTCGAAATGTGACCAATTCTTTGCCGAAAACAAAATGCAAGCATCCCTCTACTTCATTCGTTTTTTGCCTGTGGCCCATTGTAATGTATATATACACTTCTTTAATGTATCGGGCCCCATAGGTGGCGACATTGATAGAGTCTTTCATGATTGAAATAAATAGAATGTAAATATTTAACACCCTCTTGCTTTCTTAAACGCTGTTCCCTTCCTTCCCTCGTACCACACACACAGTTTAAAGCCTGACAGTTTTGTTCAGTTTACAAATTGTAGAATTTCTTTCCTGTGATGAAATTTACTGTTAATTGAATTCGTGTGTCATCTAACTTCATTAACACATCTTCATCGCCAGCCCAACTCTATATTCTTTTGAAGAATAAAATTGTTTGTATTCCTWATTAGTTGTCTAAACAACACATTAAAAGAAAACCACTCAGCCATGTACACAGATTGATAGAACAAAAGGGTCGAGTTAGAAGATGCTGGCCTAAAACTGAACCAGAAGCGGAGAGCCTAACAAGTCGCTATAGAGCTACATGAATGACCGTAACTGGACGTTTTTCTGGTCAGTCAATGTTTGTTTTCAAATTCCAAAGCTACATTATTGATTTGGTGGGTTAATAGTTCACTTTAATCTCAGTTTACAGCTTGGTTCTTTGGTTACAAGGTTTGTTGACCCGGGCAACAGAAAGCGTAGCTTCGGTGGTGCGAAAACAACTTTATTTTTTGTCTACGTGCATTTATCTGACGAGTTTCTTAGTATTATCTCGGTATTCAAGAGAAATTTGCTGAAAACTAGCTCAAGTTCACTTGAGAAGAGCTCGATTTACCGGACCTAAAGCAGGAAAACGAAAAAATCTACCAGGATTAGATCAAGTTTGCTAAAAGATTTCATTAACACTGAACAAACAAATCTAAGGACAACACGGCTGAATGGCACGTATCTCATATAATGGTAAAGTTCTTCCTACGAAAGCTAGACGAGCCATTAAGTACAGCTTAAGGAATCTAGAAACATCTCTTTACCTTTTTTACCGATATAAAAGGCGTGGAGAATAAATCCTACTTGACGTAGGACGAAGCTGATCTCGTGCCGGGAGTTAATATAAACATCCCTTGGATAGCAGGAACTGACAATAATTAAACTTCAACTTTAAAATATTTTTACTAAATCAGGAAGAAATATTATGTAACTGATTTCCTTTGGAAACGAAGTGAATTAGTTATACTCCTGTGGTCGGTTGCAAAATCTGCTTGATATCATCACAAGTTCGTCTCTTGCTGCTAAAGAACAAAGTTGCTCGACATTCCAATTTATCTGTCAAAACTGTACAAACATTGCTGTTTCAAGGAATCGTTCTATCCTGTAAACGAACATATTCTCAAGTTCCAGAAGATCGGTTAACTCATTTAACTGTCATCAGTCTTAGTCATAAAGCTAAGTATGGGGGAATAAAATATCGAAAGCCAGAGGAGGTGGCTTTGGTAAGTCTTACACACAAGGAAACTGAACAAGGCTCAAAACGAACTCAGGAAGATTTTTTATTCAACTGAACAAGTTATGTCGCTAATTACAGAATATAATCTTTCTTTTTCTGATATTGAAAATTGTACTGCTCCGCGTAAACCTCGTTCTATAAAACCACAACAATATGTACAAGCAGTTGATTATGAAAGAGAACTCTTGACCAAGCTACCTCAAATAGCAAGCACCAAGTCTACAATTAAAGATGGCGTCGTCGAAGATGGAACCCTCAATGGTGGGTTAGGAATAAAAGGAGTTGGCAAACTACACAATGATAGTCAAGAATCATTCAAGTATAATAAAACTGAACGAAGAAAAAGAAAGAGGAAGAGGAGACAAAAACATTGCGTTAAGTTTAGTGAAGATTGTTATGACAATGATGATGAGAGTCTTCACAGTACTGGGCCATCTTTGCTACCTAGTATTCAGTCGAAGAAATATACTTGTGAAAACAAAGCAAATCCAGTAGAGAAGTCAGGAAAGAGCATGGCAGAACTGGCGAACTATTTCCGATGTTACCATGGAAGTAATGACAAGTTACCGAAAACAACATTGCAGAGGTCTGACCATGGGGTACAAAATTTTAAAAACTTCAAAAAGAACGCTGATGTTTTGTTAGCTGAAGCTATCGAAAGAGACAAAAACAGTCAAAAACAAGCGAGCAAACAGTTGGAGCGAAGTGTGCTGCGAGGAAGAGGGATGGGGCATACATGTCCACATCATTAGCAATAATGTAACTGAAAATATATATAATATCTGTATGTAGTATTGAGCTGCATGGTATATACATGTGCACACCATAAGAGAATGGTGTATGTCACTGTATTTAAAATTGCGCACCATTAGCAGTGACGTAACTGCATGGTATATTCATGTACACACCATAATAATGGTGCATGTCACTATATTTACAAGTGCGCACCATTGGCAGTGGCGTAACTAGATGGTGTATACATGTCACACCATAAGAATGGTGCATGTCACTATATTTACAAGTGCGCACCATTGACAGTGACGTAACTGTGTGGTATATACACGTACACACCATAAGAAGGGTGCATGTCACTATATATTTACAAATACGCACTACACTACCCTTGTAGTGCTTTAATTTAATTACGCCATGTCCTAAGCTAGTTCATGACCAGAAAGTTCATGAATAGATTTTATATGCTGTACGCAATAATGAAGGCGTAGGACACATTATTACGCTTTTGAAATATTTGTAGTTCAGTTCAGAAATCAATAAAAAGTATAAGAATGTTTAGCTGTGTGGGTGGGTGAGCGATTACAGGCGCACGAAACCTAGTCCTAGATGGCGGGGCGTATCACCTGAACTAGGAGAAGAGCATACCTTGAACCTGAACTAGTAGTATCCCTTACTGTGGAGTATCCTTATACCTTATCTCAACGAACGTTTTCTCAAGGTTGCGTGCGCATCCAACTTGACGGGCCACAAAACTGAAAAACGCAAATTCAGTAAAATTGAGAAGCCAGTTTTATATTTAAAGAGGAGAATAACTGATCGATTTGGTAAATTTGTATTGAAAAAAACTAATAAAAATGATAATTTTCATTATGAAGCTCCTGTTCTGGTATCGTGGCTCGTCAAGTCCTTAAATTTGGATGCGCACGCAAGCTTGAGAAAACGGTCTCAATAAGCCTTTTCATAGTTTAAGAATCGATTCCACTGCGCATGCGATTTTATCCCGAATATTCACCTTCTTTTGATTAATTAAGAACCAAAGAAAGTTTAGACAAAAGAAGGTGAGAAATTCGGGATAAAATTGCATGAAAAGGCTTATCCCGCCCTTACCTGAACGAGGGTGTATCCATCAAGCCACGACCCCAGGGTTACTGAGGAAAAATTTAGTCTTCCATTTGGGCTTCCTGTGTTCCGTTACGTCATAAACGACAGTTGGCAGTCCAACATGTCGGATGATGCAGGTATAGTTGAGCTCGAAATGACAGAAACAAAGAAGAAAAATGCCAGTACTTCTGGACTTAAGAACTTCTTTGCTGGTGGAATCGGTGGAGTATGTTGTGTAGCCACTGGACATCCGCTAGATACCATAAAGGTAAGTGTGAATGTTGAAATATCCAGTTGGCTTGCCACGAAAACTAAAAATCTTGAAATACCCGCAATTTAGACATTTGGTTTGAATATTTTTTTGTAGCTGTGCTTCTATTGGTGTTTAGCTGTATTTAATATACGTTAGAAATCAAAGGTTTTTGTCGTGATATCTTTAAAAAGATTTTGCTTTGAAAGGTTTAGAATAATCTTATGTGATATTTTGGTCTTCTTCATGCATGGTTTATTGAGTTATAACTTTTATAACCTTTTAATATAACCTGATAAGCTGCTTAAAACAATATCTGAGCTCTCTTAGCAACTCCTCGATCCTGCTATAACATGGCTTTTTGCATATTCTACCACTAAGGTAATATATATATATATATATAGAAAGTATTAATGAGTAGAAATCAAAGATCAAAGTCCAACTCGCATATTTAAGATGCATTAGTAAATGGACGAACGTCTAGTTTTCATACATTCAAGGTAAATAAATTAGTATTAATAGCATGTCATGATTTTTGGTTTCCAGGTACGACTTCAAACCATGCCTAAACCTTTACCAGGCGAGAAGCCGATGTTTATTGGTACACTAGACTGTGCACTCAAAACCATAAGGAATGAAGTAAGAAAATAATCAAGAGTGTATATGTTAATTAAGGGTTAGATGACAACCACACAGGGGTGTAGGCAGGTGGGGAGCCAAGTGGGTAATTGCCCCCTTTTGTGTTAGAATTCATAGTAAGTTGTTTTCATTAGGTATAAATTCCTAACTAGTAATCTTTTATACGTACGCCAAAATGACAAATAAATATTCAGTGGAAACTAGTTTTGTTTAATTCAACCTCTTCAGTCCACTGTATACTGTATACTCCGCTCCTGCTTATATTATTTGTTATTTATTCTTATAGTGTTATATTTGTATCATTTCAGGGTTTTTTAGGTCTTTACAAGGGCATGGGAGCTCCAATTGTTGGTGTTACACCAATCTTTGCTATTTGTTTTTGGGGATTCAATATGGGGAAGAAATTACAAATGAAAGACCCTACAGCCGATCCAACGTAAGTTGATATACTTGCTACTCTATAACAGTCTGAACTATTACATATTAGTAAAAACACACAGGTGATTATTGAAAATCTTGCACGCTGATTGGTCAAGAAACTCACACTATCACACGATAACCACCTCCAGTGATAATCCAAAATGGCAGCCAGCGGCTTTGTTGCTGTAACCATCTTTTATCTTCTTTTTTTTCTTTTTTCTTTTGAAAGAATCACCTGTGTATTTATGCTAAAACAATAATTTCCTCAGCCTCAGCGAATTTCAGAGAATATTTAGCTCGAAAGCTCGCGTCTCGGTAAATATTCCCGGATATTCACTTCGACTTTGATGAATAATTTTTAAATATAGCACGTTGGTCTCATAACTCTAGATCTTACATCATCTCTGCTGGTTTAGATTCCATGGGTAGCTGACTATTCCTGCAAGGTCATTCCCTTGTACATTCTTTTCAGAATTATTTTGTGTGACAGGTTATATTTTGTGTTGTTATTTTTCAGTTATTTTGAGATATTGAATGCGGGTATGTTTGCTGGTGTTTGTACAACAGTTATAATGGCTCCAGGGGAACGAGTCAAGTGTTTGTTACAGGTAAACAGTAGGATGAAACTCTGAATGGGATTTATCAATTAAAAACATGTGATTGAAAATATTTGGAATGTCTCAAAAATACATCAGAAAATTGATACCCTTTAATTTATCACCGATGTGGGATTGGATCAACACAGAGATTATTAACTTTTTTGGCCACAAACAATGATAAATAATCAAATTTGAAGAGACTGAGAACTGAGAAGTAGTTTACTGCAATTTTCATTTTCAAATTTTGGTTGCAATTTGTTTTTTTTTACTGCATCAGTCAAAACAAAAATATAATTTTATAATTTCAGCATGCAGCCCAGAGTTATGAGTTAGTGTACTAAATAAATAAAATAAATAATGGGGTTCTATAGTGCATTCCACATGGTCTCAATGCGCTTAACAATTATGACCAGTGGAGGACTTTTCGGGCTGCATATTAAGGCGCTAGTAGCAGCCATGCAGCTATAATGATAAAAGTGTTGATTGTGTCTTTAGATTCAACAAGCTTCTGGTGCAGAAAAAAAATATGGAGGACCAATTGATTGTATCAAGAAAATTCATGGAGAATCTGGAATTAGGGGGGTCTACAAGGGAGCTTGTGCCACACTGTTGAGAGGTTAGTACATGTATGTGTCGTTGATAATGCCAATCAAAAGCTGTTTGTGGCAGGTCAACAATAACTATCACAGCAAAACTTTATAACAAGTGTGGAATAGAAAAGTATGTATTAGGTGGTTTCATTGTTGGAAGGATAGCAAGATCCTCAATATTATGACTCCCTACCCTAAACGGGCAAGAGYAACTCCCTCCCCCTGGAGTATTCTAGTCCTTTTTGTTAAACACTATGATGATGCAAGAAGGGGTTGAGCTTGACATTGTTGACCTGAGCAAACTTTATTGACGTCCATGATTTTTAATAAAATCACTTATTATCTTTCATTCAGATATTCCTGCTACTGGAGCATATTTTCTATCTTATGAATATCTATTGAAACAATTTACACCAGAAGGGGGAACGTAAGTACCTTCTTTGAATTCCGATATAATAAGAAAACGAATAAAATATAATTCACTTATATCAGCAAAAGTAAACATTTTAAGTTTTTAACAAACTTTTACTTTTGCTTATATATATTTTTGAAGAATTATTGTCTACTGTTGGGAAAGAGAGGCATAATATAATGTACATTTATTCCATTGAAATTCTAATTTTAGCATTGAATTTTTCTAATTTTAATTTCTTTTAGTCGTGGTGATATTGGAGCACACAAGATTCTAGTTGCTGGAGGTAAATATATCGTACCATAGTTATCTATTTATTATGAATAAGACCCTATACATGTATATAGAAACTGTTACTGGTTTCCTGATACCATGTCCATTGTTCTGTTAAAGTAGTTCAATTAAGGGTGGCACAGTGTTAGTGCACTTTCCTCTCCCTTTTCAGGCCACAAGTTTGATTCTTATACCTGGCAAGTGTAAAGAACTATTTATTGATCCAAGRTCTTTTCTCTATGTTCCTTTGTCTTCCTTCCTCCCAAATTCCAATTTAATCTSTAAATTTACCATGCCATGTTTTGAAGTTGTTTCAAGGTTCAAGAAACACTTAAAAGTTTCTGTGCTGCGTTTTTCATGTTTTCTCTAYACAGTAAATGCATAAGGCAAAGGAAGCCATTTCTTAAACTGCAAGGCTTGTTTGATCTTCGACATTACTAAACATGTAATATATTCATTATATTATTTTCTGTTAGGTTTTGCTGGTATGGCTAACTGGGTAGCTGCTATTGCACAAGATGTTCTCAAGTCTAGACTACAAACAGCTCCTGAGGGGACCTACCCTAAGGGAGTAAGAGATGTTTTTAGACAATTGGTAAGTGTGTAGTGTGATGTTAGAGACCTTTAGCGAGGCCTTCTTGCCAGCCCCACAAACCTCAAACTGCAGTTCAACGTCAGGCATTTTCCTTCAAACTTTCAACATTTATCAAGGCGTCATAATGAAGTTCTCGTTGGAAGAGTGGCCATAATAAATTTCATTGATTCCGAGTGTTTCTATTTTTTGTGGGCCCTTTTCGGGGCCTGATTCCTAACGGTTACAGGTTAGTGGTTAGTGGTAAAAACGATGCTAAAAGTCTCTATTATCTGGCTGTCCGCCTGTCTGCAGCCTTCAGTAATAATAGATTAATATGGATTATTATTCATTAGATGAAAGAAGAAGGTCCAACAGCATTGTTCCGTGGTTTGACTCCAGTCATGCTCCGTGCTTTCCCAGCAAACGCGGTAGGTTACTGAAATCATTTTAGTCTTTTTACATGTAGTACTGGATTAATTAAATACATTACACATTTATAAATTAGAAGCCATTAAACCATTAGGTGGGATACCTGTGTCATTGTCACCACAGGTAACCCATCTTGAAGAAAAGAGTTGCTTAGATTGTGTATTCTACTGTTAATGGCCTCTGTTTCCTTTTCAGGCCTGTTTTCTAGGATACGAGCTTTCTATGCGACTCTTTAATTATCTTGCTCCTGATTGGTGATGACAAACTTCTGATTCGACCAATGACTATCTGTAATAAAGTGTCTGGTATGACTAGCTTAAGTAAAATAACTTGGTCCATCTTATTTGGAGAAAAAATAAATTCATTCCTAAAACCATTCTTCTGGAAAGACTAACATACTTAATCAACCAGTGACTAGTAAGGATGTTTGTGTGAGAGGGTAGTATGGGTAGTATGTGGTACATGGATGTATTTCCATGTCAATTACCATTTTCTGTTTCAAGTTGCATAACACCCAAACTCTGAGGTTTGATTCAGCTATGATGTCTATATTGAAGTTCAACATTTATTTGTTCCAATGTATTGTAATGCCRTTTGATTCCCTGGCTTTTCTTCTGGTTCTCCGGTTTTCCTCCTTCCTTAAAAAAAGCAACTACTATTTCCAATTTGAATTGTTGTGAAAGCTTAAACATATCCCTCCTGTCCAAAGAACATTCAAGAAAAGAACATACATGTATGTTGTATGACACAGTTTTATATCTTCAAATCTTGAATCAAATTCTATTTCCATTTGTCCAACATAAAAACTTTTGCAAATAGAAGATGTAAACAGGTTGTTGGAAAGGTTGAGTCAACATATATGATAATAGAAACAGTCRGTCACATGGAGAGGGAAAAGTTGTGTCAGACCATAAGGATGGCTGTGTAGGAGGCTAGAGGAGGGGAGAGGGGTTGCACCATGTTATGACCTCGCCCTAAATCCACCATTGCATCAAGTGAAAAACATTTAATGGGGGATATCAGTTACTCTCTATCAGGGGCGTAGCGAGGTCTCAATTAAAGGGAGCAATGTACCATTTCTCTGCCAAATCCCTAGTGCACTCTTTTGCCTTCAAACAATTTTTTCAAGTTTAGGAATTTGGGTCAATAAAATAAATGTATAAAAACTAAACCAAATGCAGCAATTTGTTGAAGGCAATAGAGTTGAACTGATATATGCTAGGCAGTTTGTCAGGTAGAATATGACCTCTTAATTATGCTTCCATGCAAATAGTTTGAATACTCTATATTTCTAACAACATGATTGAAGAATATTTCGTTGGCCAGAGTTTTTGTTCGTTTTTTGTTTCCTTATCTACTACTAGTTTTACAATAAAGTTCAGAACATGCATTGAGGCAGTGAGATACAGCAGTTAGTTTGTTATCATTGAAAAGTATGGAAGCCTGCTTTGGATTTTGGTCAAACAGCTAAACATGCCATCTTTCTCAAGATTATAATCCTTTCTGGTTCAATTGATCTTGCGAGTCAATTCTTCAAACTCGGTGAACTTCTGACAACCACCTTGGTTATGTCTAAATCATCAAGGTTCTGATATATTTTTATCTGTGTTGATGGAAGTGTATGCTCACCACAATGATTGTCGCAGTTCTCAAGATTATAATCCTTTCTGGTTCAATTGATCTTGCAAGTCAATTCTTTAAACTCGGTGAACTCCCTGACAACCACCTTGGTTATGTCTAAATCATCAAGGTTCTGGTTTATTTTTATCCGTGTTGATGGAAGTGTATGCTCACCACAATGATTGTCGCAGTTCTCAAGATTATAATCCTTTCTGGTTTGATTGATCTTGTGAGTCAATTCTTTAAACTCGGTGAACTCCCCGACAACCACCTTGGTTATGTCTAAATCATCAAGGTTCTGGTTTATTTTTATCTGTGTTGATGGAAGTGTATGCTCACCACAGCGATTGTCGCAGTTCTCAAGATTATAATCCTTTCTGGTTTGATTGATCTTGTGAGTCAATTCTTTAAACTCGGTGAACTCCCTGACAACCACCTTGGTTATGTCTAAATCATCAAGGTTCTGGTTTATTTTTATCTGTGTTGATGGAAGTGTATGCTCACCACAGTGATTGTCGCAGTCCATATCGTAGTGCACTGCCAAGAACAAAGATATTATGATGACGTAGAGAACTATCAAAAGGTCTGTAATCTTAATTTGTATGACTAAACCAGAAATCTCTTCACTGCATTGGGAGAATACCATTACACAGAGAGCAAGACTGAGGTAGAACAAGCAGCAGACTAGAGCAGTAGTTTGCCATGATATGCCTTGATGTTTGAAGGCCACAAGTAATGTTATATGGATTGACAAAAATATRAGGAAACTGAGTTTGAGTTTCAGAAGACTTTGAAATGTCTTGTTTTTACACTGCCTATACATGCACCACATTAGAAACAAGAACCCTAAGAGAGCTAAAGAACCAGCTTTGATGTATGAAGCCATTATAATGTATTGGATTCCATCAGATCTGGCTTGAATAGCGGCAGAATACCATTTAACTGCTGTAATGACATCAACAATGAAGAATAACACTCTCAGACAGTTATAGCCCCAGGTTGTTCTGTCTATAGCGTGTTGAAGTACTTCCCAGAAAACAAACAGAAGGAAGAAAGTGAGGGAAAATATGCAGACAGCCAAAACTAATCCAAGGTAGTAGACTAGTATGGCCTCTGGTTTGGTCGAGGTACTAGTAGTCCAAATCTGACGACCAAACTCTATGATAATGCAGATGAGAAATATCAGGCCAACAGTGAAGAAAGTAATAAAGGACTTGTGTGTGTAGTTACTCAAAGCTTCCACTATAAATGTATTCAACTTGGCTGTCATGAGGGTTGCTTGAAGGCTTGTATGGCTTGAAGGAATCTGTAGGGAAATGTGATGACCAGCTATTGTATTTAGTTGATATAAATGGATATTAAATCTAAAAAAGGACAATGACACAATATATAGGCGATATTAACTAGTTTAGTGACGAACACTTTCACTTTACTAGAGTGATCACAGTAAATCCGTGGAACTTTAGTAATACTAAATAGCACAATTTCATGCAAATTCCATTGTTTTCTATTGTTCAACTAGCACTATTTCTGTTTCTGACGGATTTACTGCCGTCACTCRAAGCTCGCGTCTTGCATAGTCTTGTTTGAAACAGTAAAATTCGTCTCAGACTGTTTGATAGATGTTGTTTGTTCTACATTAGTAATCAGAATTCAAACAAAGGRTTTATCCTTTTATTGCAATCTTTGCTATCTTTTAGTTCAAAGACAATTCTGTTTGATAGCGGTTTATACAGCGTATTAATGAGAGAATACCAATTTCGCGTTCCTCATTGTTGATGCAGATTTGGTCTCGAATCCATAGACAAATACATTACCTTATTACTATGTTCTTGCTCTTTGCTTTCTGTACATTCGTTCTTCAGTGATTCAGAAAGAAAAGTCCTTATTTTCTTCATGATTAAGCGACCAAAAAGCACTGTCAGTAAACTTACTCACTTTTGTGCTTCTACTCGACTGGACTTCAGTAATATTATGCTATTTGGCTTCCTCGGTTTCTGAGAAATCTCGTGACATGGACTTACACTCCCCCACCCCCTAGTGGGTTTTTGTCTGTCTGTCTGGTTAGACGGACTTGAACAAAAGTTTAATTAAGTAATAAAGGCTGTTTTGATTGCTTTCATTTATTTTATTCAGGATATATGTTTTAATGGCTATTTAATTTTATTTAGTACACGTCTTTAGCTTTATCATTAATCTGCACATACCTCATGCAATCAGTCATAGTAGCTGAATTCTGGTTCTATATTTAGAGATCTTTTCATCTTATAATAACGACGCCTGCGGCGGGTACACCTCGCCATRAAACATCCTTGGCGGGGATACTTATAGCGTATGTTGACCATTATATAACTGTTTTTCTCTGAAGGGGTGGGGGTCTTCTCCACTTTTTGTTCTGATTCTTTTTCTTTTTCTTTTTTTTCTTGTTCTGGTTGTTTTTCTCCTTTTTCTTGGTTTGGTTTGGTTGTTTTTCTTCTTCTTTTTCTTCTTGTTCTGGTTGTTTTTCTTGTTTTTCTTGTTCTGGTT